TATCCAAATATGTACTTTGTTTAAGACCAATAAGATGATTCTTTCTATCCTGATGAATCCTTATTCCTAGAATATAGGCCGCTTCCCCTAGATCCTTCATAGCGAAACATTTCCCAAGCTAAGACTTAACTTCTTTCAAAGTGGGAATGTTGTATCCTATAAGGAGTATGTCATCAACATACAACACAAGGAAGGTCACTATACTCTCACTAGCTTTGACATATATGTAGGACTCATCTTCATTTCTAGAGAACCCAAAATCTTTGACTTTCTCATGGAAGCAAAGATTCAAACTGCAAGATGATTGTTTCAATCCATAGATGGATTTCTCAAGCTTACACACTCTATTAGGAAACTTGGTATATACAAAATCCTCTGGAGGACACATATAGACATCCTCAGTTAACTTCCCATTAAGGAAAGTTGTTTTAACATCCATCTGCAAAAATTTCATAATCATGAAATGCAACTATAGCAAGCATAATCATGATAGACTTTATTTTTGCTACTGTTGAAAAGGTCTCTTCATAGTCAATCCTTTGGGTTTGAGTAAATCCATTTGCAACTAGCCTAGCTTTGAAAATGTGTACCTTCCCATCTATGTAGGTCTTTTTCTTGAAGATCCATTTGCACCCGACTGTCTTTCGACGAGGTACATGATCAACCAAGTTCCACACTTGCTTATAATTGTTGGGTCATATTTTTGTGGTTTATGTTGGGCTTACATTTTTAATTGTTCTTGGGCTTAGAATATTACTTTATTAATAGGCTTATTGTGTTTTCGGTTGTAAGGACCGAAATCAATATGGTGATTTCGGTCATGATGGGATTGGGCCTTTTATGGCGTTGTATTTTGGCTCATATATATAAATAATTGTATGCAGCCGTATAGCAGTTGTTGTTGCATTCTTGGTATTCGGCTGCATTGAGTTCTTATGTACCAGACGGTTTTTCTTAACAATATCATGTGCATTTGAAGTGAATTTGTATGTTCTCGAATCATTGCTTAATTAACATTCCGCATTCTTTAAGCAATTGGGATTGATATTGCATAAGATCCATAGTTTTGGTACTTACAATTGGTATCAGAGCATAACATGTATTAATCGTATTCAAGGAATTTGAAATCGCTTTAGGCTGTTTTTTGGAGTATTGGTTTAATTGAAGAAATCTTAAAATTTAGATTTTCATTGACTACTCTTCTTGCATTTTTCGTGAAACCGTTCTTGGTGTTCTTCGTGTTCATCGGGATTTTTGGGGCATATTGTTCTGATTTATCGGGATTGGATTTGGATTGTTATTAGCTAATTCATGAAATTTAAGGGATTGAGGTATTCTATTTAAATAATAAATCACGGTTTGAGGATTCATTATTCCAAAGAGTTTGTGGTGTTTATCTGGTCAAAGCCCGAGTTTTCGGTCAACGATTAGACCGAAATCTCTTCGAGAAATTTAATTTTTTGGTGTTGAATCTTGACCGATCGAAATCATCCGTTTTTGGTCAATAACTCTTGGAACTTTTGGTCAATTTATTTGTTGACTTTTCTTGTATTCGAGCAACTTATTTGTTAATTAAAATGGAATACACTAGTTCAATGCATCAAGAGTTGGACTCCATTATGGAGACTACCACTCGTTCCTCGACTTCTGTCTGCTGATGGATTTCCGAAATGGAAATTTAGAATTGAGAAATATATTAAAATGAAGGATACAAAAATATGGAGGAGCATTCTCAGAGGTCCAGTCAGGATTACCACTTCTTTGATTGATGATGATGAGACCGTTGTTGATATGAAGATAGAAAACTAGATGGATGATGATTTTGAAAAAGTTGAAGAACATGGCAGAGCTCTTGCCAATCTTACAATGGCCTTATCTCCTGTAATTGCCCAAGGCTTTAGGCAATATGAGTATGCAAAGGATTTATGGGAGGCCTTAATTAAGGTTTATGAAGGGAATGAGGACATGAGACAAAGTAGATAGGAACTGCTTCGACAGAGGTTCAACATGTTTAATCATGTTTTAGGGGAGTCTCTTGAAGCTCAACTACAAAGATTTGTTACTCTCACCGCAGAGATGAGCCCGACTGGGATAAGTCTACCACACACTGAGATCAACAAGAAGTTTTTGAATTCTCTTCCACGCAGTTGGGACATGAATGTGGCTGTAATCAAGAAGACTAGGGATCTGAGCAAGCTTAGCCTTGTTGAAGTGATGGCCATAATCAAGGCATGTGACATGGAAGATAAGCAGCATGAAATCAACTATGTGAGTTCTTACTCTGCTGCCAATCTAGGAATCTCATCAAACAATGCCTTCTCTGCTCAACAAAATTATTTTTCTCATCCTGTTGTGCCTCATCCACATCTGGCACCCTCAAGTTCTTCTGGCTCAAACTCTAAAACCACAACCACTACTCAGCCTTCATCAATTCCAAAAGAAGCTAAAGAAAACATGGCTCTGATGGTTGGGTTTATGAACTATTATAACACACTACTGGCAGGAGATTTAGCCCCTCCAATCATGGTTGGAGAACCGGATTAGATTCATCCTGAGCACATGGAAGATATGGATATCATGTGGCAAATTACTATGGTTGTCTTCAGGACGAAGAAGTTTACCAAGCACACACAAAAGAACAATTAGGGAATAAATGTGGAAAAGAAGGTAGGGTTCAACAAGAGCAAGCTTCAGTGTTTCAACTGCCACGAGTTGGGTCATTTCGCTCATGAATGTACCAAGCCAGACACCAAGAATAATTCCGATAGGACGCTGGTGCCTGCAGGAAACAACAGAGGAGATACAGCCAACAATGAAATAACTAACTTGGAAATGGTGGCACAAAGCTTCAGCTGTGAGGATCAGATGTAGGCGTTGAATCTGACAGGACATGAAGTAGCAAACTTGGCACAGATCAACGAGAATTCAAAGGTAGAAGAAGTAGAAGAAGAGATAGTGGAACTGCAATTCACCTTCATGGTCTATACTACACCTGCAACAAAAGAGGTTAATGAAACTCCATGTTCTCAAGCCTTTAGTGATAAAATTAAACGTTATTGTGATCAAAATGAATTGTTAATTAAGGAAACTGAGGACCTTAAATATGAAGGCTATACTCTCAGAAAGGCCCAAAAACCTTTAAAAAAACTAGAGGCCAAAACCAAGGACTTTAGAAAACTTCAAGAAGAATATAGCACTAAATGTGAACACTACAATTATGCTCAAGAAAAGAGACCTAGTCTAACTGCTGAGCTTGACACATTGAAAAATAAGTTTGAAAATGCGTATTTTAATTTTAAAAAATTTGATGTGTCAAGTAAGAAACTTGAGAAAATGATTAAAAAACAACTTAAATGGCAAGGTAAAAAGAATGTAGACCTTGGTTATGATAGTGTTCCCCCTCCATTCAATGATAACTAAACTTTTACTCCTCTGATTGAGGAAGAAATAGCAAGAGAACCACAGTATGGAAAACCTACTGTAGTTGAGTCAGTGAATAAGGATAGGGTGAACGATACTAACGTTTCTACCTCATATGTAGATGAATCCCGTTGCAAGACAGGAAAGAGGATGAAGAAAGTGTTTTTATTTTGAAAAATGACACTACTTTTAAAAATAATGCTTTGAAAGTTGCAATTAGGGTTTCCATCAAACAGCGCCTACTCGCTGAGTCAGTTTTCCGACTCGTCAAGTAGGCTACTTAGTCCCCGAACCGGATTCATTCTTACTCGACGAGTTGGGCCTTCAACTCGTCGAGTCCAAGGGTAAAAATTATAAAATTAACTTTACTTAGATGCATACCTGAAACCGGGTGTTCCATGTTGTGACCCATTTGAGGCATTCATACTTTTGGTGGTAAGCTCTTAAGGCTAAATACTACAAGGTTTCAAGATACAACAAAAGTTATGTCATCCTAACTAGTATTTTATATTGTTTATGTTAATTGCATGCTAGTTATAGGTTTAACGCTTTGGAAACACTATTACATGTATAATTAGAGAAAACATAGATCCAAGACAGTTAGAGTTGTATGTGCACCATAGGATGTTGTAGCATACAAAACCCAACAGCAGCATGGTCCCCTTTTTGCTCCATATCACTCCCAAGTGCTCTAAACCCCCTTCTATATGATACGTTCCTTTGTCACTTGATCTATTCCTTTGTCAGACGATTCATTCCTTACTCAGATGATTTGTTCCTTTGTCACATGATCCATGAATCTAAAGTGCTCCATTGAGCATGATCCAAATACTCGAGTCACATTTAACAATTTATGTTGATCAAGATGTGTGTTTATTATAAAGTTTGTTCTTATCTAAAAATCTTGTTGCGTTATCTTTTTAAAGTCTTTGATGTTATTGCTCGTATTGGTTGAGTTTTTAGAATTAATCATTTAGCGTTGTGTAATTTTTGCTTATTTGCATTGTTTAATTGATGCTTGTTCATTTGTACTTTGAACGGTTTTTTGTATTCTCTCCATCTTCTTCTTGTATTTTTATTTTATAAAATCTTTCTACCGTTCTAAAAAATCTAAAAAGTCGTAAGAAAAGATGAACGAAAAAAGCCAAGATGCATGCAGAGGTGGTGGTAGTTTGTGATGTTTGGCCTTTTAATGAAATTAATAAATAAATATGGCATAAAATAAAAATAATGTAAAGATTTTTTACATATATTTAACCACGGGACGCGGAAGGAGTGGCAAAATGGGCAGTTGCACCTGGTTCATTTTTTTTTGGAGCAATTTTTTTTTATTATGTTATATATGCATAATATATTTGTTTAAAAAAAACTTATAATAAAGATAAGGATCATTTTTGTATGATTGAAACAAAATTTAAATCCTTTTTATTTAACATAAATTTTTTAATATAATTGAACGGAAGAATCATTGGTATAGTATTTGAAAATCACGTATATACAATCTATCAACTTTTTATATTAGGTCTCGACTTTAATATTTGGCAGATTTCATATATGATAAGCTAAATAATGAATTTTGAGTAGGAATGGAACGGAAGATCACTTTGAATTTTAAGATTTACTTTCTTAATTTCCTCTTTAGTGTTCTCATGGATTAAATAGACCACTTTATAGTGTTGGTCTGCAAAGATAACTTAAATGTCTAAAATACTCTTTTGTTGGTGTAGCCAAATTCTGTAGAATCAAGTGTTTGTAATGATCACTATGTGCAATTTGGTAACTTTAGCTTATAACTTTGTAAAACCATGAATTTGCATTTTAGACCACTCCTTTGGATAATATATAACATAATATAATGTAAATAACAACAATGTGCTTTCCTTTTTTTGTAGCTCGTCTGTGTGTTGAGATTGTAAGAGTATTACCAAATTGTCACTATAACCATTGGGGTTGAGATGAAGCTGTAGAACCCAAATATCATGCTTGCCTGCCTGACGGATAGAATCCTTCAAATTCCATGTTTACGACTCCTTGTTCTTCTCTATCACCCATAACCTATGATGTAAAGTACATAAATTAAAAAAAAAGTGTGAAATTTGGTTAATGTAACTATTGTGCAACCAAAAGGAATAACTTCATAAATTTCATACAAAAAAACTGTCAAAGAATTAAATAAATGTAAATGTAGAAAAGGAATTAACACTGGATTTGTTGATAATTTTATAATTTTATTAAAACGCATGAAAGCCTGGATTTACTAACCTTGTGTTCAATACCAAAAAAAATTTCAACTACCGATCCATGAATCCATCTGATTGTTCATGTAAGCTTAAGAGTATTAGGACATAAATCAAAATAAATGAAAGAATAAGGATATGAATTAACATAAGGAAGATTATATAGGGTGAGTTGTAGGCATTAGGATTCTACCATCTTATACTTCAATGACAACATCGATCATCTTTAGTTGTTTTTTAAATTCTCTTTTTGTTTCTCCAATATGACGTGGGCACTAGTGAGGAATATAGATACTAATATGTCAATTTAAAATCATTTTTCTTTTCAAATTTCAACCAATGAAAAGTTGTAAGGAAACTATCACCTGAACAAAATCCCGATGAGGCATATTTGCAAACATGTGGGGATTGTACATGATTGCTTGATTACAGGTATAGCGATTAGATTCCATTGATATAGTGATCCCGTGATCAATAATTACAAAACATTTAACAAAAAAAATAGTAGTGAAGAAAGTTGTCAGACAACCACAACTTGAAGGTCCGGTGAAGTGTGAAGGTGAAAATTTTTAAAGCTGAAATCAATGATTAACTGGTTAACTCTAATATCAGTAAATAAATAGCAAAAATTAAGGGATGCTATATGAGTCATTCTAAAAAAACTGACCAAAAGAGAGATGTCATTCCACTTACTTCGAATCCTCCTACTTCCCCTGTCATCTTCATACCTATCGGTGGTGGATGAGATTGGTGGTGGCGATGATCTAGACTTTTCTTCCGTGTCTTCCTAAACACCAAGTGTGGTCTGTTAGGCCGGTCGCCATCCATGCCCTCTTACGACGCTGTGTCTGATCACCAGCAGGAGCGACATAGTGTCGCTCAGAATAAGACGAAAATCACATGCAAGAATTACCAAAGAGGAGGTACGATCAAGAACAATTAACAAACCTGGTTGGGTTAGGTGTGCTTAAATGATAAACCACAGTTACATTTTGGGTGTGCTTCCTTCTGCATCAGATTCCACCGCATAAATTGCAAAACAAAACAATAGCATCACTACTGTAGTTAACGAAAAACATCGTCCCTACCAAGTATAAGTAGGGTTTTAAAATCGAATTGTTCTATCAATGAAAATGAGGGGTAGAGAAGGTGGACATGGGACCTGGTGTCAATCGACCGGTTTGAATCCGAAATCAAAGCCTCTTTACTTGCAAATCCCAAATTGATAGTGGTGTAGATGACTTCTATACAAATCGATGACAAAAGGAGTTGGTTGAGATGGAAGCCCTTGGAGGATTAAACCAAGGTGGGGAAGGTGAGTAATAGACGTAGAGAGATACAGAAGAAGAGAGAGGTATATGAACGGATGCATATTGAGTCGGTGGACACTAATCTCCTTTCTATTGGCTTTTGTAACACGTGTATTTGTAGACATCTTCCAGATATCAACAAAAAAAAAAAATTAAAACAGTTAAAAATGATCCAAAGGAAAAGAAAAAAAAAAAAAAAAAAATCTCCACCTATAAGAAAAAACTAGTGTATTATATGGGGTTTGGTTTTGAAATTAATCTATGTATAATAATAATTAGTTTAATAGAAAATTCAACCATCAACCCCTTGAATTTCATCCGCAAAACAATGGGTCGAACCAGTGGTTTCGTGTCAATTTACAAAGCCAAAACAACCCACAAACCGTACATCCTTTATTACAAAATCATAAATGACCATCACTCACACACCCCACATATAAATTCGCAGATAAACACTCCAACAAATTCCAAAGTCTTTCAGAAAACCCAAAATCAGAATACCATCATCTTCGCCATCGGTATCAAAAATCACCCAAAAAAAAAAACAAATCAAGATTCCCATCATCAACCATCGCTGTTTCTCTCTCTACAAATCAAGAAACCAAAAACCCCGATCACAATCACCATCTTTGGAAATCAAATATCTCGAGGAAGGAAACCGAAACCAAATCGACAGAATCCGGAAATCAAAAACCCATCACCAGATCTAGAAATCAAGAAAGAATCAAGAACAAACCCCTCTTTCTTTCTCTCTATAAAAATTAATCAGGATGCTGCACTTGTTCTTCGCAGTAGCTTTCTCAGCGGTGCCGTTGACTCTGTATGTACCTCCTGTCAGAAGCTTGAATCTTTTCGTACAAACCATGGAAGATCTATGGAGGGAATCGAGCATCTATACGCATAGGGTTTACCCTCGGGTACGATACGCCTTCTGTAGGATCTTGGATTGTATGCTCTGCAACACCAACACCCCCCATTAGGCCCCCATCTCCGGCAATCAGCTTCAGCTTGTATATATCTTTCGTTTTTCACTGCAATTTCTGGTTCAGGCTTGGTTTCTGTGATGTTGAGTTTTTATATTCACTCGTAATAAAATCGACCAATTTTCTCTTTGTTTTTATTTCCATGATAGTTTATGCGTAAAATTAGGGACTTTAAAATAATAGGGTTGCGAATGAAATTTGTTTATGGATTGATAATGTATATTAATAGTGAAGGGTAATTAACTAATTATGATAATGTCGATTTGTAGTAGATATGCATTGAATGTGGGCTAGCTGTTATTGGTCGATAAAGAGGTAATCATGTGGTTCTACTTTCATGTATCTGTTCGATGAGCTCGTGATACCTTTGGAGTTGGGACGATCTTTGGTATTGAGTTTGAGTTTTAAATGTGTTCATTGATTTGTAAGATTATTTAAAAGTAAAAAGTATAAAAAAAAAGTGTTTGACAATTTAATAAGTATTTTTTTAAATCAATGAAATATTTTTGGTTTAGGTTAGTCACATAAGTTATTATTATTTTTATATATATATTACCATTCTACTTCTTTGTACCATTTTATATTACATCCTTATAACCGGTTGGTGGAGGTTTTAAGTGATTATAAGGATTTAATGTGATAGGTCCAAACAAATTCAATGATAATATATACTCAAAAAAACATAAGAGGTCAAATGTTGGGACGACCATTTGGACCGGGGAACCGGTACCAGAACCGGATATAATCGATTGGGTTGGGACTGAGACGATATTTTTATGGATTTTTGAAACCGGGAATCGGTAGAACCGGCAAAAACCGTAACCGTATGTTGCTAATTCTCGAAGACCGGTTTCAATACTGAAGACACGACAATAATTGGTAGGAACCGGAACCGGTAGAATCGGTGGTCCTGTTCGGTTCCTATTTTCCACCAAGTTCAGTTCTCGGGCTAGTTCCGGTTTGGGCTGATTCTGATGCTCATCCCTAGTCAAATGTGAACAAAGCCTAAACTATGCTACTCTTATAAGTCATTAACTTTTCTACGATAGTTTATTCACATCACTAGATAAGCGTTTTGGTATTTTTAGGATTTGTCTCGTTGTGTGATAAGTATACGGAGTATTAGGTAATTGATTATGTAAAGATTGACCAAACCAATGATGCTTAGTTGGAACTATGCTGGTGGAGGTTTTACGTGATTGTAAGGATTTAATGTGAATAGTCCAAACAAATTCAATGTCATAGGCGAATCTAGCTAATAGCCAGGGGTAACACGGGCTACCCCTTAACTTTTATCTACTAGTGTAAAATCCCGATTATTTTATGTACATGTGCAGTCTCTGAAGAAACAAATGTGCAACCCGTGGTTTAGGGTTCGATTGATTCGTCCTGCCATGTTCTTCCCCAATTCGTCATGTCCAATTTATGGTTTCCTTTTTCTCCGGACTTCATATAAAGAGCTCATTTAACCATGAGATTGAAAATGGTGGGGTCTATAGCTTCTTACGACTTAATGTTGAGGTTTACATCAGTTTAAAGGCAACACGTTCCAAAATCCCCAATTGTGGTTGTTCTTTTGGATCCAATCATGCTAGATGCCTTTGTGTTTTCCCATAATCCAGGTATGCTAGTAAATCTTGTTTAATTTTATGGAATACATTTACATGAGTCAACTTAGATATTCTAATTGCAGTTCTATTTCGATAAATTCTGTGAATTTTGTACATATATTTTTTTATCTCTAAAGTCTTTTAAGTTATTTGGCTCATGTTTAACTAATTCATGCTACAAAATTAGATTATTGAGAGATGTCATCACACTAAATTAGACATGTTCAATGTTTTGGATCCATTTTAGTAAATCGATGTGCATGTATTAGTTATGAGTCTTTAGCTAAATTTGGTGATTATGTTTGTGGCCCTAAACATAATGTCATCTGCAAATCCTACATGGAATTTGGTTGGTATAGTGACATGTTGGGTGTCGTACAATCAAGAAAATCTATAGGGAATTTGACAAAACATAAGGAAGAGATGTGGCCTTAAACCAAGTAGAGCTAAGAAACTTCAGTGAAGACTCATCCGGCCTCAAGAGGCTATTATCATAAATAGAACCACAACAACACTTGAGATTGAAAACATTGTTGTTCTTTACAACATTTGAATGGATACTAATAACAAGACATTGAGCTTTAACACATTACGCATGCACATCAGGTGATTTTAGGAAGAAACATAGGTTGGTATCACTCTAAGCCTTAAAGAACTAGTCAAGAGAGATTCTAAGGTCTTGAAGTACACAATCATGGGCAATGGGCCATTCATAGGGATCTTAATTGCATCAATATATTCATCAATGGATACATCCTATAGGAAAATATTACACCTATTTCATTCTGCATATAAGGATTAATCTTTGAACTTAGCTGCTTTCTATATATGTTTCACTGTCTCCCAATGTCTTCTGCCAACCTTTTTGCATCAAAGCTCCAAATCAGCCTTGCCTCATAAAACCTATGATGTAAATACCATTTTACCCTTTAGGTCTTTTGCATAAAAACCATCATGCTACCCCTAAACTTTTTTTTTTGATTTCACCATTGTTCAATGGTAATATATACTCAAAAAAACATAAGAGTTCAAATGTGAACAAAGCCTAAACTATGTTACTCTTATAAGTCATTAACTTTTCTACAATAGTTTATTGACATCACTAGAGAAACGTTTTGGCATTTTTCGTATTTGTCTCATTGTGTGATGAGTATGCAGAGTATTAGGTAGTTGATTATGTAAAGATTGACCAAGCCAATGAAGCTTAGCTAGAACTATGGTGAGCAACCATTCTAAACTACTAAACCTGGTTTGGAACCGAAACCGGTTTAGACAAATAATTAGATTGGTTAGACTACATCGGTTCTGGTGCGAGCCTCGATTTTTGGTTACATACTCGGTTGGAACCGGTACATGTTCTTATGTAGTTGGTACAATTAGTTAATATTTTAAGCTCAAATGATTAGAATAATAAGGTGTTTATAAAGAAATAAGGTGTTTAAATGTTTATATATAGTCTAAAATAAAGTACATATAGTAAACTCAATGTTGAAATAACATAAATTCAGCTTTGATACCATTTTTTCTCGGACTCATAACTCAATCAACATGTAACCAAATAAGGTGTTTATATAGTCTAAAATGAAGTACACACAACAAACTACGTGTTGAGAAAAATCATGGGATTCTGACTTTAAACAAAAGAGTTATGACAGTTGAAAGAAGATGAAAGATTGAGTTGGACCGAGCTCAAACTGAAACACCTCTTAAACAGGCTAGTAGAAATATGGTTCAGTGGTAACATAGAAGGCGGCCACAACTGCTAGATAAGGATGTAATGTCAACAGTCCAAACAAGTTTACAAATATGTAATTTGAACAATCCAAACAATTTTATTGGTAATATGTGAACAAAAAAAAATCAAAGGACTAAATGTGAACAAAACCTAAACTATGCTACACCAACCGCTCATAAAGATCTAACGTGACAAATCCAACCAAGTTTAATGATAATATGTGGACAATAAATAACTAAAATGACTAAATATGAACAAAACCTAAACTATATTACCCTTATAAATCATTATCCCAAGTATAGAAGTACAAATGATGTAACATCTCATTTTCACAACAAAAATTTTCATTTTCAGTTAAGGTAAAACTTCACATTTATAGAATCCAAGTTAAGAAATCCATTTGTTCCTAAGTACATTTGTTTATAAATCAGAGTGACATAATAAACGTGAAATCTTCATTGTTGCTAATGAATGTGTACAATCACGCTTTCGCCTTCCCACAATCATCATTGGTACCTGAAAAACATTTAATCTACAACTGTAAGCCAAAGCTTAGTGGGTTCCCATAAAATTCCACACACCACAATATACATACAATGTATGTACATCAGGCCCACAACATGAATACTATATTGCCCCTTGGCCCACAACACAAAGACTAGATTGCCCCCGAGCCCACAACATAAGACTAGAATGCCCTTCCGACCCTCAACTTATGATTGGATTGCTCCCGAGCCCACAACATAAGGCTTGAATGCCCTCCCAGCCCTCAGCTTATGAATGGATTGCTCCCGGGTTTGTTGGCCTACAACATAAAGCAAGACTGTCTCAACCCACCCCACTTTAATATGTCGACGTATGAAACAAGTAAATAATCAAGTAATCACATAAGCACTAACAACTATCTACCTTAGTCTAACTGTCTAACGGCTCACTACTATATACCCAACATCATACAATACTACACCACTACTAGCATATCTCTAAGGAATGATTAATTATATGTAACCATGGGTGAGATAGACATTCGAACATGAGATCCTGCTCTAGAGTCATAACCAGACAATCTTGATAATCCTTGACTCTTGAAAGCTTAGTCCCCTAAATGTTGTACCTCAAATGGTTCACAAACACCCAATGCAACAAGATGAGAGGAGAGACACCAGAAAAATCGGCAAGGGTTAGAACCTAATGCGCAGGCCGAAATTCTAATGACCTGGAGGGTTTATATATGGTTGAGGGTTGCTAGGGTTTCTTGAGGAAACCCTAATTTCCTGGTTAAGGCTTAAGCAACCCATGAACCTCTTACCAGTAGGCCTTTGATGAAATCTATAGGGCCTCCCTATATGATTTCGTCCACTTCTAATTAAGGAGTCTAGTAGCCCAGTTTCACAACTATCAATGATTTGCAAAACAGTCCCTTCATTATTAACTAGTTCCTTTAATCCCAAAATTAATATCAAATTAATTTTTGATTAATTATTAATTAATAATATGATTTCTAATTAATATATTAAACTTGTAATATATTAATAAAATCATTTTGAGTACCAATTTATTATTT